CTCTAAATGTTTCGTGGCCTCTTCATTTCTGGACATAAGCATCAGTTTTGTACGAATACTTCGCAAATGCATGTCACTTAAAATATTTACTCTCTTCACAGTGGCTTCACTGGCAGACTGTTAAATAAAAAACTCAAAAGCTTAATTACAAAATAATAATATAAACACAATCTTATACATGAAGCTTCCTTGATTCTCATCTACTACTTTTCTCCTTCATATAATATTTATTCCGAAAATAATCTTTGTTTGCATTCTGAATCTCCAGAATTATTAAGATTTGGTATGAAGAAATGTGTCATTGAGTTATTCTCTTTGGGGGATGTGTGGAAGGGAAACCAAGGATTCCATACATAAGAATTTTATGATGTTAAAAGTTTCTTTTCTATGGAGCTCTGGTGGCCTAATGGCAAGAAGCTGCACTGCAATCCCAGAGTCAAGCAGTTTAAATCCACCAGATGCTCTACTGGAGAAGGAGGGGCAATTTCCTCCTGTACCTGTCTGATGCAATGACAGTACACGCAAAAAATAAATTTTTTTTAAAAAATGTTATTTTCTCCTTCCTTACTCATGAAAAAGCTGCAAAAAAAAATTTATCCCCACATTGTACTAATAAATTCACTTATCAACAAGTTTAGCTTTTTTCTTCTTTTGAAATTTTTACTATAAAAGTGATATATATAAAATCTTACCAGTATCATGAGCTGAGTGGTTTCTGGGTGGTAAAATATTCTGCACGCTCCTACTGCTTTCTTAAAATCTTTATGTGCATTTTCATTAGCACACCTAGACAGAAATTAATGCATGTGTTAATACCTCAAAACAGATTCAATTCAGAGGCCAGTTATAATACAACTTAGAATTTTCTTTTATATCCCCCTTAAAACATTTTTTTATTCCAATGATTTTTTTTTTTAATCAGAAGATTTGACTTGGGTGTTTGGGGAGGAAAAAGATTTTTGTAGCACTTAAAATATCCTTTTAATTTGCAGAGCAATTCAATAATAAACCAAATTACTCACGCTTCTCTCAAATCCTCAGGCACATCCACTGTGCATTTAAAGAAGGTATTTTTTTTGACAGTTTTATTTTGATTGACAGGTCGAAGTCGTTCAAATGTGACTATTTCATTGTAAGTGGCATCACAAGCAGCATATTCAATGACATAAAACTAAAAGACATTAAAATACTTTTAACATGCCATCTGAACAAAACAACGTCCTTCAAAAGAACTTCTAATCACCCCGCTCAGCTTAACCAGCAGACCCTCCCCCTTGTGGCTCATAGATGGGCTTTTTGTTATGTCAATGTGATTTGCCTGAACTAGATTATAGGTTCCTATAGGACATGAACCTTGATCATCCTCATATGCGTGAAGTGTACTTCAGGTGAATAGCTTTGGTGTTTCCAAACACAATACACAAATGAAAATTAATGAACTGAAGAAAGTTTTTAAATGCGTACGTCATCGTTCATGAAGTTGACTTTTAGAAACAAAACTAAGGAGCTGGAGTAACATTTTCAAAAGCAGCGTTAAAATATTTCCTTCAAAATAAGTCACAAAGGCAATAATTAGCATCACTTACTTCTCCTTTCATCATTCTAACTTTAGCCAACCACCAACCACATGGTTCTTGGTCATTTGCTCTTGAATAAACCTATTAAGAGGAGGACAGGGGGTGAAAGCTGATTTATTAATTCTAAAAGCACATAATACAAGTCAAAACTTGTTGTAAAGGCAAAACTCTGGAATCCTAAAAATGCGACTTTACTGAAACTAGTGAGAAAATGGTCAGAACACATAAGTATTAATATTTGAAATAAAGCTTAACTATTTTGGGGGAAATCTGGCTTCTTGATAATCTAAACCATTTTTTCTTTATACCAAATTCATCAAAGTTTCTCTCATAGTCGTACTTTTAAATAATGTGTTAAACAAAGCTTAAGAGATGAGTCTTCTAGTTGTGTCAACTCTATTAAAATTAGGAACTGTTTTCAGAAAATGGTATTAAATATAAATATTAAAAGTTCCTTCAAAGACATGACATTTTGATACCTTGGTAGGGAACTTTACATGTACTAAGATTTTATTTGAGCCAACAGCAACAACAACAACAACAAAAATTAGGGCATATTAGCAACATTTTCATTGGGGATTAGAGTTCATTCTTATGTTACAGTGTCTGTTTGGCACAATTTCAATACATGAGAAACAGAAGAGGAATCTGGGAAGAACTGAAAGTTCATTGCAATGATACCTATACTCATGGCAACAACATCAAAGATTTCAGTTTTCTCTAATATCTTCCCACACACACACATGAATGCTTCCTTCTTCTCCTAGGGAATGGCTAGTGGGTTTAAATAATCTTTTGGCTACCAGAATGCTTTTTATCACTGTACCACCAGAGCTGAGAATTAAATACCAAAGAGCTGGTCAAAGAATAAGGGTGACAGGAGAATTAATACCTTTAAACTGTGGTTTTAGACAAGAGTACTGAATATCCCATGGACAGCCAAAAGAATGTATGTATTAGAGAAGGTGCAGCCAGGGTGCTCCTTAGAGGCAAAGATGATAAAGCACCGTCTCACATATTTTGGGCATGTTGCTAGGAGAAACTTTCTTGGGAAAGAGACAACATGTTTGGGTCAGTGAAGGTTAGGAAGACCTTCAACCAACTGGGCTGACACAAGCGACTATAGCAATAGGCTCAAGAGTTATCAAAGAGTATAAGGATAGCAAAGGGTAGGAAAGGATTCAGATCTGCTGCTCAGAGAGTCACTATGAGTCATATTTGACTTGATGGTACCTAACAACCACCACCACAGTCAGAAACTGAATGCTACTGGAGAAAATACCCAGGAAAATCAGTGGTTAATATTTCTGTAAAATTCAAGAATTTTGTATGATTTGAGAGAGACCTTGAAAATAGAAGTATATTGGAATTATACATGAATACCAAAATTATTAATAGCCAAACACTAATTAACTGTGTAATAGAAAAAAGCTTGGGGGAAAAGAGAGGTAAGAGAGCAATGAAGGCTATTATTTCATTTTAGCTGTTAGAGCTTTTTCCACAAGCAAGTAAAATTATCTACAAGACTGCTATTTCATTACTATTTTTTTAGATGTCTTTCAAAGACTGCCTACTTTATTAAAACTCACCCTAACTTGCAATTATTAAAACATATGCACTGGATACTTTTCTAAATCTAATGCAAAATATAATTTCATTTTTTCTGTATTTTTTTAATAATTTTAATGAACATTTACAGAGATTTTGGATTTCCACTTATTCATTGTTGCACTTTTCTCCCTGCCCAGCCCTCCCCCCGCCCCCCCCCTTTGCTCCTCTCTTTGAAAAAGTAAAAGAAAAATTCTTTCTTTGGTATACAATCCCCCCCGCACCCCTCCCACTGCTTCAGGTACACTCCACTATGCATTTTTCTGTATTTTAAATGCTACTCTTTACACTGTCATATTAACCATTTACAATTGCCTTTACACAGTTAAGGACTAGAAATTTTTTCATTCCTAATTTAATGATTCTAATTAAGTTGGATCCATGATCAATACTCAACAGCAGTCAAGAAATAAAGACATCTATAGTGTGAAAGCGTGCTATCAGGGATCTCTCCAAAGCACTAAAAAAGCAAGGTGTCCGCTAAAGGGACAAACAAGTCTGTCTTGGAAGAAGTGCCACCAGTGTGTTTAGGGTAAGTTGTCAGAAGTATCAGTTATCAGAAAAAGATAATGCTGGAAAAGGTATAAGGTCAAAGAAAGAACAAGACAGACTGACAATGACTTTAACAGTGAGCTCAAGTGTGGCAGAGATGATGAGCACAGCACAGGTCAGGGTAGTGTTCAAATCCATTTTCACAGGGTTGCTGTAAACTATAGTTAACAGCACTGTAACAACAGTAACTAAAATGTTACAATTTATTCCAAGCACTACCTCACTGGTACAGTTCAACAGTTTTGATGTCCTGTAAGGAGCAAGTGCTTCAGGCTTCTAAAGCTATAAAAAAGATAGATATTCACCCTTTTGTAACTCAAAACACATACACTGTCCAACTACTTTTACCACCTCTGGGGCTTATTGGGCAGCTGCAGACTGTTATCAGGAAAAGACTTATGTAACTGAATCGTTTTATGGTTATATGCCAAAACAGCCATCTTTTTTTACTGGGAGATAAATGTTGAAAATATATTTTCACGTTTCTGTGCATTATGTGTAAAAATATACTAAAGTTGTAGTGTTTAGTCTATCAGGCTACAAACTAAAAAGTCTGTAATTCAAATCTACATTTGTTCCATCCTATATAGATTTATAGCCTCAAAGACCTGATAAACAGTTGTTAAGAATCAGGACCAACTTCTTATCCATGAGAATGGAGTGCATTCCTTATCTCTTACTGATTCCAGGTTAATAAATAATACATTTTCAAACATCCTAAATTGTATACACTTGTCAAGTTGATTTAGAAGTCCAGAGAAATATTTCCCACTTTTATATCCTCACGTTCAAAGGAATAGAAAAGAGTTCCACATAATTTGATTCCAAGTCCAAAATAAAAATTGTGTCCCACATAAGCCAATCCCAGCATTGAGAAAGTCATGTATGACCAACATAATCTTATGCCTAGAATCCAGAAAGAAGTATGTACCAGAAAATGCATTATTAAAATTTACGTTTTTAACCAAATTTCAGAAATATTGATTCCAAATGTCTTCCTTTAAAGAAAGCACACAGAGTTAAAAACAATTCAATGCAGAAAACACCTGGACCATGTGAGAATTAAACTACTCAAAATTGTTCTAATGTTATTTGCAACAAAATAGAACCTTCTAGGAATATGACCTTTTCTACCTAGAGACCATTTAGCCTGTCTATAAAGTTGATTTCTCATCAAACACTACAATGCTGGGTTCTTATATTTATATTCTTATCTCTGTAAGATTCATTAATAATTTTATCCCTCAAAGGCAAAGCTACTCTCATAAACCCAACTAAATTTTAAAGTCACAAACCAAAATCAAAACACACACAAAAAACACCCCTGGTTTCCTATCAACCCTACAAAATGCATCATTCACAAAACCCAGGGTAGTGTATCTCAGTGAATATAAAATGCTAACACCACAGAATAAAAACTGAGTCCTACTTTATTACACTTCAAGTAAAGAGCTACTAAAATTATGTATTAATACATCTTTGATGAGTTGTTACTGTTGTCAAGTATGACTCCTAGTAAATAATACATGTGAACCCTGAGCTATCCTATGCCATCTTTATTATCTCTGACATACGTGATCCCATTGTCACAACCTCTGGGTCAATCCAAGATGCTCTATTTTTCAATATAATTCTATATTTCAATTATTATAATAATTCAATATTATAGTATTTCAAAATAGTTCCATATAATTCTCTAATTCCAATTCCTCTATTGGCCCCACTCTCCACTTTTCCAAGCATGATATCCCTTGCAAAGGAATACCTTTCCTAACAGCTTATCCAAAGTATGTGATACAACAAAGCTTCACCATCCTTCCCTCTAAAGATAATTCTGGCTGCACTTTATCTAAGCCATAGACTTTTGTTTTTCTAGTTGTCTAGATATTCCGAACTCTGTCATCCTTATTTGTTGTCTAGCTCTCAGATGTATGTACAGTAGGTAACTGAAAAGACCATGGCCTGAATCAGGCAAATCTTGGCCTTTAAGTCACAATACTGTTCTTTAGCAATTTGGAGAAGACCCTGACACCTGGCTATTCATTAGTCTCCTGATCTCCTAAATGCTGTTACCAAGGTTGATGACTATAGATCCAAGAAAGATAAAAGGACTAACAACAATCTCTTCTCCATTTACCATGACTGTTGCTCATTGGTCCAATGGATGTTTGTCTTCTTGATATTAAGATGCAATCCATATTGAAGGTTATATTCCTTTATCTTCTGCAGAAAGCACTTCAGGTTTTCCCTATTTTCAGCAAGGAAAGTTGTGTAACCTGCATAAAACAAATGTTAATGCATTTTCTCACAATCCTGATGCTGCATGCTTCGTTATAAAGTCCAGTTTCTCTAATGACTTGCTCGGCATACATACAAACTGAAAAGGATACTGCCTTTACATCCACCTTTTCCGATTTTAAACCATGCAGTGTTCTCTTGCTCTGCTTCTTGGTCTGGGTATAGGTTTCATATGAGTAAAATAAGATGTTCAGGACTCTCAGTCTTCTCAATGTTAAGTTTGGCTTGTTTCATCCACAATCTTCGCAAAGTCAATAAAACAAAACTAGACATTCTTCTTGTATTCTCTTCTTTCAGATAATATCCATCTGACATAATCAATGATATCTCCCTGGGGCCATGACCTTTTCTAAACCCAGTCTCACCTTCTCTGGCACTTCACTTTCAACACACTGGTCTAGGATAATCTTCAGCAGTATTTTGCTTACCTGCAGTATTAATGATATTGTTTAATAATTTCCACATTCTGCTGGATCTCCCTTGTGAATGGGAATACAGATGTCTTCCAGTCAAATGACCAGGTAGCTGTCTGCCAAACTGCCTTGCACATACTAGTGAGCATACAACCAGGACTCTGTTACCTGAAACATCTCAGCTGGTTCTCAATGATTCCTGGGCTCTTA